ATTAGCCAGGTGAGAGGAAGGGAGGCTTCCTCCCAGGAGGCTTCCTCCAGCAGCCGAGCTTCTTTGCTGACATACACTGCACGCGTCTCGGGTCGTTCAACCACTGCACCTCCCACAGCTTCCATGCAAGACGCTGCCTGGCGTCTAGCTTATCATAATCCGCATCAACTGTGCTATGCACACACGGTCGTTCATATCCTTATCTCTCTCTTGTCAGACGGACTGTTCCCAGATCCTTCTTTAAATTCCATCCTAACGGAAATAGGTTCCCTGAATGGCAGATCCTCTCATGCGGATGTTCGGAGGTTGCGACATCTTCGTCCGCTGCTAGCAGGATGGCGATTACGACCCAGGCAGGAGGATGCATCTCAATTTCTGTTGCATATCTCTCAGCGTATTCCAGATCTTTCATCAGATAAATGGGAGGCGCGAGTTCATATCTCAGCACCGGAGGAACGCATAAGTGTTGAGGAAAAAGGTGGCTTGATTCTGTATCTACCCGAGCCGCCGGATGGACTCTCGACTCTTCAGCAATCAGTAACACAATGGACGAACAGGGGTAGTGTGTTTGCCTTGCTTCCAGATACAAGACTCATTTGCTTACAAATTCAAAGATTTGATCAGCAAATCAAAACTTCCCGCCCACAAGCGCTGGACACAGTTCTTGAGATGCCAATGTTTCGAGATAACGGAACCTCAACAGAAGCAGTGTCCTTTAGCCTCTATGCATTCATTATCCATATCGGCGAAGACTGGAGCTCTGGACATTACCGAGCGGGGTTTTGGAGAGATGGAGTTGCGTACCTAGCTGATGATAGTGATCCGCCAAGATGCACCATGCTCCTCTCGGATCAAATATGCCGAGGATCGTACTTGGCCTTCTATGTAAGAGATTAGATTCAGCCAGGCAGCCATGAGGCAGGCCTTTGCCCAATTGTCAGCACCCGCCAAGTCCAAGCACGCATGCGGAGGTTTCCTCCGGAGGCATCCTCCGCAGCAGTGTTCTTTCTTAAAGAAGACCTATCTGCCTGCTGTTGCTTAAGGCAACTCGGCATGAATGCTGCCCTGCGCGCAATAAAGCCATGATCTCGTGCTAAAAAGTACAGTCTCTTGCATGAACCTTCACATGCGGAGGTTTCCTCCGGAGGCTTCCTCCCCGGTAGTGTTTCTTACAGTAGACCGATCTGCCTGCTGTAGCGTAAGGCCAAGCTTACCCATTTTTGTCCCTGAACCTGAAGCATCTGTAAGAGCCCTGTGCGCACTTCCTTTGACCCCAGCAAAATTCCCCCCCGAACATGTGAGGCCTCCTCAAGGACGGTGGGTTCAACTTAGAGTCACTTTTTCGGATGCAACCTGCCTTGTCGCAGCGCTGGCCCCGAGAGCCGTGCAAGGTGTCCCAGGTCAGGTGCTTCCCTCTTCGCAAAGTACTCGTACCTATGTGAGACCTCCTCCAGCCTGGTGGTTTAAGTTCGGTCAGTTGGGGTCACATTTTCTCGACCAGGTATGAAATTTTGCCCTGTCGCAGCGCTGGCCCCAGGAGCCGCGCAAGGCGTCCCAGGTCAGGCTTCGCAAACTCAGCTTCCCTGCATCCAATTTGAGCATCCTACTTGGAACGTGCAAGTTGATTCATTGCATCAGATAAGGAGGTTTCCTCCTGAATATCCTTAAGTCCTCTGCCAAAGCAGATTCAGTATAGCAGGTAGTGAGACCTGGCAATCTGGAGGAAGCGATCCTCTCGAAGTCCAAAAGGCCGGACTGTGAAATAAAAAAGGCGGGTGAGACCTTCTATATCACACTTGCCCGCCTTAATCACACCAAACTCAGCTAGCGCACAGCTATAGCCTGCAACATAACATCGGGGCCAGCCGGCACTGCAGCAGTCGCGGGTGCAGGTGAGCCAGTAGGAAGCGGTCGTAGGGTGCCCAGCCAGCACAGCGCTATCGCAGCCCTGAGGGGCGGATGCATTCCACATACTCGAACATAGCTGTGCACAACAATCCTTTCAGCAGCCCTGAGGGGCGTGAAGTACGAACTAGCAAAGACTGCTGGAGCTCCCAAGGCGGATACAGAGTAGCCGACGTGCCGAGGATCCAAAGTGATCAGAGGTCCACATGCTGATTCTGGCAGTGAGTGCAATGCAAAAATGTTGTTGTTGTTGTTGTTGTTGTTGTTGTTGTTGTTGTTGTTGTTGTTGTTGTTGTTGTTAATGTTGTTGTTGTTGTTGTTGTTGTTAATGTTGTTGTTGTTGTTAATGTTGTTGTTGTTGTTGTTGTTGTTGTTAATGTTGTTAATGTTGTTAATGTTGTTAATGTTGTTAATGTTGTTAATGTTGTTATTGTTGCTAATGTTGTTAATGTTGTTGATGTTGTTGTTGTTGTTGCTGCTGCTGCTTGTTGTTGCTGCAGCGTGTTGTTGCTGCTGCTTGTTCTTGCTGCTGCTTGTTGTTGCTGCTGCTTGTTGTTGCTGCTGCTGCTTGTTGCTGCTGCTGCTGCTTGTTGCTGCTGCTTGTTCTTGCTGCTGCTTGTTGGTGCTGCTGCTTCTTGTTGTTGCTGCTGCTGCTTGTTGTTGCTGCTGCTGCTGCTGCTTGTTGTTGCTGCTGCTGCTGCTGCTGCTGCTTCTTGTTGTTGCTGCTGCTGCTGCTTCTTGTTGTTGCTGCTGCTGCTGCTTCTTGTTGTTGCTGCTGCTGCTTGTTGTTGCTGCTGCTGCTGGTTGTTGCTGCTGCTGCTTGTTGTTGCTGCTGCTGCCGCTTGTTGTTGCTGCTGCTGCTGCTTGTTGTTGCTGCTGCTGCTGCTGCTGCTGCCGCTGCTGCTGCTGCTGCTTCTGCTGCTCCTGCTGCTGCTGCTTGTTGCTGCTGCTGCTTGTTGTTGCTGCTGCTTGTTGTTGCTGCTGCTTGTTGCTGCTGCTGCTCGTTGTTGCTGCTGCTTGTTGTTGCTGCTGCTGCTGCTTGTTGCTGTTGCTGCTGCTGCTGCTTGTTGTTGTTGCTGCTGCTGCTGCTGCTTGTTGCTGCTGCGGCTGCTTGTTGTTGCTGCTGCTGCTTGTTGTTGCTGCTGCTGCTTGTTGCTGCCGCTGCCGCTTGTTGCTGCCGCTGCCGCTTGTTGTTGTTGCTGCTGCTGCCTGCTGCTGCCTGCTGCTGCCTGCTGCTGCCTGCTGCTGCCTGCTGCTGCCTGCTGCTGCCTGCTGCTGCCTGCTGCTGCCTGCTGCTGCCTGCTGCTGCCTGCTGCTGCCTGCTGCTGCCTGCTGCTGCCTGCTGCTGCCTGCTGCTGCCTGCTGCTGCGCTGCTGCCTGCTGCCTTGCTGCTGCCTGCTGCTGCCTGCTGCTGCCTGCTGCTGCCTGCTGCTGCCTGCTGCTGCTGCTGCCGCTGCTGCTGCTGCCTGCTGCCTGCCTGCTGCCTGCTGCTGCTGCCTGCCTGCGGCTGCCTGCTGCTGCTGCTGCTGCTGCCCTGCTGCTGCTGCTGCTGCGCTGCCTTGCTGCTGCCTGCGGCTTGCTGCTCTTGCTGCTGCTTCTGCTGCTTCTTGCTGCTTCTTGCTGCTTCTTGCTGCTTCTTGCTTGCTGCTTCTTGCTGCTTCTGCTGCTTTTTGCTGCTTCTTGCTGCTTCTTGCTGCTTCTTGCTGCTTCTTGCGCTCTCTTGCGCTTTTGCTGCTTCTTGCTGCTTCTTTGCTGCTTCTTGCTGCTTCTTGCTGCTTCTTGCTGCTTCTTCTTGCTGCTTCTTGCTGCTTCTTGCTGCTTCTTGCTGCTTTCTTCTGGCTGCTTCTTGCTGCTTCTTGCTGCTTCTTGCTGCTGCTTCTGCTGCTTCTTGCTGCTTGCTGCTGCTGCTGCTGCTGCTTGCTGTTACTGCTGCTGCTTGTTGCTGCTGCTGCTGCCGCTGCTGCTGCTGCTGCTGCTTGTTGTTGCTGCTGCTGCTGCTGCTGCTCGTTGTCGCTGCTGCTGCTTGTTGCTGCTGCTGCTTGTTGTTGCTGCTGCTTGTTGTTGCTGCTGCTTGTTGTTGTTGCTGCTTGTTGTTGCTGCTGCTTGTTGCTGCTGCTTGTTGTTGCTGCTGCTGCTTGTTGTTGCTGCTGCTGCTTGTTGTTGCTGCTGCTGCTTGTTGCTGCTGCTGCTTGTTGTTGCTGCTGCTGCTTGTTGCTGCTGCTGCTGCTTGTTGCTGCTGCTGCTGCTTGTTGTTGCTGCTGCTGCTGCTGCTGCTTGTTCTGTTGCTGCTTTTTGGTGTTGCTGCTTCTTGTTGTGGCTGCTTCTTGGCGTTGCTGCATGTTGTTGCTGCTGCTGCTTGTTGTTGCTGCTGCTGCTGCTGCTTGTTGTTACTGCTGCTGCTTGTTGCTGCTGCTGCTGCCGCTGCTGCTGCTGCTGCTGCTTGTTGTTGCTGCTGCTGCTGCTGCTGCTCGTTGTCGCTGCTGCTGCTTGTTGCTGCTGCTGCTTGTTGTTGCTGCTGCTTGTTGTTGCTGCTGCTTGTTGTTGTTGCTGCTTGTTGTTGCTGCTGCTTGTTGCTGCTGCTTGTTGTTGCTGCTGCTTGTTGTTGCTGCTGTCGTTGCTACCGTTGCTGTGGCTGCGGTCGTCGTCGTCGACGTCGTCGTCGTTGTTCATGAAGTGCAATAAAGTACGCTGGTAAAATATACGAATTACCGTATTCTATAGCTACTTTTTGGGGTCTTTGGAGTAATATTATGAGAGCGCACATTGATGCGGCGAAGATGAGAGGTCCCAACAGCTACGAAAGTTAGGGCTGTCACTTCTAAACTCAAAGGAGCTTATGTCCGTGGCAATACCCTCTAAAATCTCACTGAAACATTTATTTGGCACATCAAATGAGGTGTGCTGACTGACCTCATGTGTTCACATGAGCTAGAATAGGTAGTGGCAGAAGCATCGGATCAGCAGTGTGGACACTTCGCAAAGCTTCCTGGAAAAAGCTGCACAATGATACGACTTTCATCTTTCATCTATGTTACATCTCTCCGAAGCACTCTCCAAACTCCCTCAGAAGTAGCTCTGCCAATTTGACAAGCAGCCAGCGAAGCCAATAAAGTCGCTGCTGAGTGCCGGTGTGAGAATGTTCCTGTCGACCGCAAGGGCTTTATCTGCAGGCGAGGCGCTCCAAGGCGATGCAAATGACACAAGTCGATCCAAAGCCCGTGCCTTCCTATGTAGCCGCCCAACCACGCAGCTGCAAAGCCAAAGGTCAAGTTGGTGCACTGCAAGACCTCCAGTATGTCAGCAATCGCATGACAACCCCATCATGGTATCCCCATGGTATCCCATATGCTCCCCTCGTCAGCTGAAGGAGCCCAGGTCTTTGGATCACTCCAAAGTGACACTGCGCTCAGCACCTGTCGGGTAAACTAGAGGAGACGCAACTGAGTTTTTGAAGTTGCTACGGCTGGGAGGGCTGGGAGACACATGCAGAGGATTTGCCTTCGCAAAGACTGATCCTCGCTGGGCGGGCTTGCCAAAGTTGGTAGCCAAGACCTTCACTTGAGACTAAAATGCTGATCTCAGGTGGCTTTGCTGAAACAGCAAAAGTAAAACCCAAAAGCAGCTGCAGGTTCAGGGTGCGCCACCATAAATGCGATAGTCGACGCTACTGCCAGGCCAGAGAAAATGTAAAAGACAACCTCAGTCAAAGCGCGCCCAGATCAACAGGTATCATGTGAGGAAGAAACGCCGTTCAATTCATGTCGCTGAGTAGTCCAGTTTGGCGTACTTGGTCAGGATTGTGGCCGATGCTCTCACTAAGCTCCTGAGAATCTTGTCTAGGCTTTGGTCGACGAGAAGACCATGGGTCAAGGAATCACACCGATTACCACTACACGCTGTCCTTAAGTTTCTTTTCTCTTCGGAGACGACTCTGCTTGCTGCCATGGCTCTCCATAGCCAAGAAAACCAAAGCGAAAGAGCCAGCAAGTTCCGCAGTGACTGCCGGGGCCTGCAAAAGACTAAGCCAGATCAACCTGTCCAACCCTGCACATGAACAGCTCAAAGTGGCAGGAAACTGCGCTGTCACGTGCTACCTCCTTCCCCTCTGCTTTGGCCACGCGCTCACAAACAGAGCTGAAGAATGCACCCTGGCAGGTCCAAAGGATTCCGGCCCCAATACCGCCTGCCGGCGACAGGTGACACCAAAGTGTGCTTGCGACAGAACAAAAGCTCCGACAACATCTGCCATGTCCAGAATTGTCCATAGCATCTGGCCTATCAATGATCCAAGCAACATTGTTGGCAGCTGCGTCTGCTCTCCCTCCATGCAGGAGCCGGTTTTGGCATTCTTCTCTGCCTCGGCGGCAACAAAGCACTCCAATGAGAAGTGCTAAACTTATGCTAAACATGCTTCTGCTCTGACGTCTTGCCTTTCGGTTCGGCTAGCGAAAGTATGCCTCCAACTGATTAGCAGAAACTGGAAAACGTCAGCTTGTCGGGAAGGCTGGCCAAACAGCGGAGACTCTTTGGGGCAAGCCAGACAACGACAACCTTTACGTAGCGATAGAATGTATTCTGCTAACTCGACTGAAGTCGACTCCACCCAGCCCTGGTTTTGTGCCCCACACAAGCATACATCAGCGTGTCAGCGTGTCGTTTTAGTTTTGCTCGGGTCTCGGCGCACATTGAAGCAGCCAGTGCAAATAAACCAACATAAACCGCATACCTCAGCTGCCATGCTGATGGGATTGTGTTCACTATGGCCATGAGAGAGAGAGAGAGAGAATGCAATCTGCGTGCAAGTACCAATTGCTAAAAGTTGGAGCAAGGCTCAAGCCCATGGACAGGGACAAACCTTTCTTCGCTCCAATAAGACTGAAGACGACTGCGGAGAAGAAAAGGCTGCACACCAGAGTTGCTCCGTACAACCTCTAGTGGCACACAGCTTTCCAAGATCCTAGCACGCAAGCAAAAAATTGTGCAACTCTGACTTCCGTTGACTTCCATAACGCTGCCCAGCAAGACACATCGCATTTCCTGCTTGGCCAGTGGAGTTAGTGAGCACCGACGAGGCGTACCTTTCAAGGCACAATGTAGGCAGACATTGGGTCATCTGGCAGCTGACCGGCTACGCTTGTACCTACAGAGCTCGCGGAAGGCTTCATGCTTAATTCGCTAGCGTTTTATTTGGCGAAGCTATGCACTGTGACTGCGGTGCTACAAACATCGTCTTCGTCATCGTAGTCTTCGCTGACTGAAGCATCGAAGCCGCAATATGGGTGTCGTCACCGTGGCATGATTGATTGCAAACGTCCAGCTCATTACCTCACAGGCGACAAGAATCGCAAAAGCTCCTTCAACATTTCATGTGGCCTGCTGCTACATGGAGACTTGTGTAGCTTACACTCACGTTCGACTAGATTCTGTTCTTAAGAGTAGCGGTAGCCCAGGATCAGCGGAGCTCCGGCTGTTGAAATTCCTACATATCCAAAAACCCAGTCTTCCATCGAGCTGCTGAGAACTCTCTTCTGCACATTCTAGCCTCCTGCATGGCAGGTACTTGGCAGACGCAAGTTGGACAAGAACTGGAGCCTCTTTGATCTTTGAAGCGCTTTACGCAAACAGGCTGCACACGTCCTCGCTCCAGTTCCCAGGCAAACATGCTGAAACAAACTTCATCCAACTCCTCTCCTCTGCATTTGGAATAAGGGCCGTTTCCAATTCAGGCTCAGGTCCTTGCAGGGGACTGACAATGACAATGTGCGCAGCCTTCCAGCTTTTGTTTGTCTCTCAGGGCTCAGCAATGCTCAGAAGCGGTCCGACACTGAAGGAGCCCATCGCTCTCTCGGCGCTCTGCGATCCCTGCGCGGCCATGGCTGCTAAACTGACTGGAGCCAAAGCAACCCACACAGTGGCACCATGTGGCACGTCATCACATGGAATGTCATATGAAACATTCTGAAACATCCATTCACATCATGGACTTCATACGTGGGAGGCATTGGCAGGCCATCCCTTACATTCCACATGCACCCAGAAACCCCCTCTTGCCCCGTGGTTGATAGAACTCAAACACACTCCACAAATTCAGGAACTCCAGTCTACTCTAAACCGAAAATCTCGGTGACACCTTGCCAATTTCAATATGGGGAAAGCCGTGCCTAGCATGCCTAGGTCACCGACCATTCCGAATCTCACGTCGCTGCTTCAGATCTGCCTGTTCGGGACAGACTGAAAAGCCTCGAACCGCGCACAGCACTCACAGACGTACCTCGCTGGTGTCGCTGTTTATGCCCACGTACTCCACCTGCTGATCAGGTAGACTGGGTGGAAGTATGCGAATGTTCGCGTGTGTAGTTGTGCTTGGTTTTCGAAGAGCCGAGAAGGTCAAGCTGTCAGGGGGCTGAAGTCAGGGCTTCAGGAACTGACGAAGCGTTGAGCACAACCACATTCCGCCAGAATCCTAGAATCTTCGAAGTTGCAACTTTCCGTATCTCGAGCGGCCGCAACCGTGGCAAAGCATCCCGCCTCTCGGCCGATAAGTGCGCAAAACCGATACACGAGATGCCTGATTGGCTTGCACGAGCACTGCAGCGTAATGTGTCTTTCCGACTTCCGGGTGGTTCTAGTTCTAGTGCGAAGTGAGTCTGAGAGGGCAGCCGAAGACGCCTGACAAGCACTTGCAAGCCAACTTTGCCGAGTGCCACCTGTTGCTAGAGAAATCTAGCCAGCGCCACGCCCCAGCAGGCCCGAGGAGAAACATGTCCTGTTTTGTGCCACGGTAAGTAAGTATCTCGTCAGATTGCTTGAGGGCACACGCATGAAGGGTGGACATTTCTTCTGCCCTCCCTTTATACTTTGTTGTGTTTGGTGGGTGGGGATTTGGGGGTTCTCTATATCTTAAAATACAATGCTCGCATGATGGGTTGCAATAAGACTCATAAGATGAGTATTATGCTTTGTGAAGCAAGCTTGGCTTAAACAGGCGGGGGGGGGGGGCAGCCCGCCCCCGCATTTGCAAACACAATGCTCGCATGAGGTTCACAATCGAGGCGGGGCACAGCCCCCCCATTTGCAAACTACTTTCGGCGCAGCTGGTACAGTTGTTGGTATTGCGACTGTTTGGTGAAACAGGTTCCCACTTTCAGTATCGGTCGGGGTGAGGTATCGGCCGGGGCATGAATAGTCGGCCTTTGTCACCCAAACTCTTGCTATCTCATGCTCCTCCTTCTTTTAGCCTGTGTACATCACTGTAGAGGGCCCTTTGAGAACGTCGCTTTCGGAAGTGGTCGGGCCGACATGGGCTAATCCTCATCTGGAGACGCTGCGCCGACGGGAAAGGGTGGTCCAGAAACTCGTGGTCTTGATTGCACCTTTCTGCTTTCGCTGGATCCAAGGATGTTGCGCCCTGGCCTGGGGTGTGACGCACACAGCTTCTCCAAGTCAAAAGACAAGTCAGCATGCTCCTGGACGAGTCTCTAGTAATCCCGAATCAGCTTCCCCCCCACTGCATGCTACGACGACTACTACTATCCGTTCCCTCCCCGGTGCGAAGGATGCCTCGGCATACTTGGCAAGCCACTCGCAGCGGCAACACGCACGTGGTCATCGGGGTGGGCACAGACGCTCTAGCCACTTGCACGCATGGACAACATGGACGTATTCATCGTGTGGACGTGGATGCTCTGGCCACTCGCACGCACGGGCAGCATGGATGTAATCATCGTTCGGATGCAGTAGTTCCACGGACAAAACCTTATGTTGAGCCTAATGGGTTTGAGAAAATGGTTTTCCGCTTATGTTTTTATTGTTTGTACATATTGCTGAAAACATCATATGACATTTTTCGACGAGGGTGCCTGCCGAAACCACCGCATATATGGTTCAGCGTCGAGCGTCCTGGGCCCCCCCCCCCCCCCCCCCCCCCCCCCCCCCCCCCCCCCCCCCCAAGCCTACTCTACGGTCCCTAAACCCTAGACCCTAAACCCTAAACCCTAAACTAAACCCTAAACCCTAAACCCTAAACCCTAAAACCTAAACCCTAACCCTAAACCCTAAACCTTAAGTCTTAAACCTTAAACCCTAAACCCTAAAACCTTGAACCCTAAACCCTAACCCTAAAACCAACCCCCAACCACACCACAGGGGGGGGGGGATCATCTTAGTACCCCATCCGCGGGGAAAACCCTAAACCCTAAACCCTAAAACCCTAAACCGTAAACCCTAAACCCTAAACCCTAAAACCCTAAAACCCTAAAACCCTAAACCCTAAACCCTAAACCTAAACCCTAAACCCTAAAACCCTAAAACCCCAAACCACACCACAGGGGGGGGGGGGGGTACCATTGGGGGGGGGGGGGGGGGGGGGGGGGTAGGGGGGAGGGGGGGGGGCCCGCCGGGGCTGAATCATATATGCATATACTCTGTATGTTATATTTCCAGCACACGGTGCCATATAGACACCATGCAGCACACAGTGCTGTACACGCCATGAAGCACACACCATTAGCACGACAAACACCCCGACATGTTTAGCTAATGACCAGACCATCTCAAAGAGCAGTCATGACAAGAAAGAGACAAACTCTTGCCTGCTTCTTTCGTCAGTGATTCTCAGTGTTTTTTGCATTTTTGTTCTACAACCCCATTCCAGTCACTTTTGGGCTTGCGAAAGCAACTGGCTTCAAAACTTCATTGAACCAAAACAACTCCTGAGAGGAGATTGATCAGCACAATTCTGCAAGCATCCAATATTCCTCGATGTTCTCACCCACGTCACGTGAAAATCCAAAGAACTAGAACCAAGACATGCTTGTTGACAGCATTGCAGGAAGTGCAGACACTGAACATGTCAATGGAAAATTCCGGGAAACAAAACAATTAAACTTCAAACGCATAATGCTGAAACCGCTTGTGCAGGGGGCGGGCAATTGAGGCTCGAGGCACTGTTGCCCCTGATAATGTCAAGATTTCTGGGCCGGGTTGTTTTCTTGGGGTCGTCTGATGTCGCCGGCCTCATGTAACCATCAAGTCTTTAGCAAAATTGCCCTCTGTTTTCCCCTCTCCCCTCTCAGCCTGCAGTTTTGCTAAACTTTTCAAAATCTCTGCAGGCCGTCAAAAGACAAGCTGTCAAAATACGGTATGTCAAATTGGGGATCTCACGATTTATATAGTGCGGTAGACCCCCATGGGGGGTTTCAATTGGTTTCAATTGGTTTTCAATTGATTTCAATTGGTTGGCGTGCTTCACGGCTGGCTCGGCCCAGGCAGGGGGCAGCTTTACGTGGGACTGTTACCGTTTGGTGGCTGTTGCTAAAAGTAGTGGCTAGTTCGCCTGTGGCTAATTCGCCTCGGCTTCCTGCCGAGAAGCGGAACAAGCAGACCCGGATCTGGTCTCCTTCCCCCTGACCCAACCCTTCCTCTATGCCGAATTTTGTGATGCACCCCCCCCCCCCCCCAAATCCCCCCCCCCCCCCCCCCCCCCCCCCCCGCTCCCCCCCCCCGGCTAAAGTGGACTCACGATTCGGAAGCTTGATCTCTCAAGCGATTTTCGCAAGAACCTGGCTCATCTGCCGATTTAAACTGTCTGCCGAAAACAAAACTTAAAGCTGCTGTCGTGACTAGGACTCAACCTCCTGCAACATCTGACTGTCTAGGCCGTCCAAAAGAATTGGTCTCATTGGTACAACTTAACATGCTTTGAGGCTACCGGAGATCAGACGAACACATTTGCAGAAAATGATTACCTTGGCATGCCTTTTGGCTGGAAAATGTATGAAGGACGACCGAGCAACTTTGTTATTGATGTTCTTGCTGTGATTATTCGTGTTGCTGCTCTTGTTGTTGCTGCTGCTGCTGCTGGTGGCGGTCGTCGTCGTTGCCGTTGTCGCTGTGTTGTTGTTGGTGGTGGTGGTGGTGGTAGTGACTTAGTAGTGGTCGCTGCTAAAATCCTGTGCCCCCCCCCCACCCCCTTCCGACCAACAACAGCACCCTGCACCAACACCTAAGTCCTTGTCTGGTTTGGGGGGGCGACAGCGCCCCTGGATAAGCAACATTTAATCGAAACATTGTCTTGCCATGGCGCCCATATTCTTATACACGCATGGATTCTTTGCGGCTGTGCATGCTGCAGGCCGTACACATGTGTATCAATATATAAATAAGCACACAGAAACTCATCCACCCTCTACAGTCTATAAATGAAGTGAAAATGCAGATCCTTACCAATTTGTATTAAATGATTTATATTTAAATATATATATATATAATTATTTATTTATTTATTTATATTTATACATATTATGTGTACAGACTGTACATACACGGCTATGTAGCTGACTGCTTCATCACATTGCAACTTCTCCGGACTGCAAGTTATCAGCAGATCCGTCTCGGTCCTGATGGATGGTAGCCTTCTGCATCATCCACCGGAGTGTCTCCAGCTCTTGCTGCGAGGCCCCCAGTCGTGCAGAGAACTTCGGCACTAAGGCAGAATTCGTCGCGCGTGCATCCAAGCGAACACCGCCCAGCTCCACCCACCGTGAAAGGTGTGCAAGGCTCTGTGGCCCGCTCGGACCATACGCCACAGGCTTCGCAGAGTCCACAAGCTCCGCAAGCGACGTTTGGGGTGGCTCGGAACCCGCAGAATCGGAGTCCTCCTGCTCCACGGCAACATAGTCAGCGATGTCGTCCGGTACTTCATCCCAGTCAAACATGGCAGAACACGGGCCCAGAGGACCAAAGCTGTTGTTGATGCGGCGGTTACTGACCTATGACTACACATCGGAAAACGAAGCTGGTTCACGAATTCATGTCAACTAGCGCTGAGAAGCTGGATCGCCACCTGCAGGCCAATCACGACAGAGGGGAACTGATGCCTGCCAGCGCCGAAGCGACGGCACCTTTCAAAAGAAGGGATATGAAGAGACAGTAAGGGAGTGGGTGTCTAGAAGCCGAGATGGAAGCCTCGCGAAAAAACACTGTACGAACACTCTTGGATGGTCGTCGGTATGGCTATTTAGGACCCATGGTCGACTGTGCAGGTCGGAAGGGAGCGTGGAGGGGGGTGGGGATCACACTTATTTACTGCAAACCTTCCCGTCCCCGTCCAACACCATAAACCATTAAGATGTATCAAGATCTCACGTCTACAAGCAATGTTCAAACAGGTAACTATTGGTTAAACATGCACAAACAGCGGCTGGTGTTTGTGCAGATATATTATGCTTTAATCCCAGAACTGTCACGAACATTCACGAACACTGCAACTTTTTTGTCCTTCCTGGCGTACTAGCTGCCACAGCAGCTTTAGCCGTCTGGATGTGAGGCTGTCCGGGCTGCCCGTCCGTCATCTCACGCGAAGGCCTGGATGCACTGTGGACTGTGCTCTGCACTTGTGCTGCGCAGGCGCAGCGGCAAAGAAGTAGCACCGAGCAGCACCTAGCAGCGCCTAGCAGCACCTAGCAGCACCTAGCAGCACTTTGTAGACGCACTTGGTAGCACGAAGTGTCTCTCCCATGTGACACGCCGTGAGATGCTGCGAGACGCTGCGAGGCACGGGCCTGAGCTGAGAGGTCCTGGTCGCACCACAGAGAGACAGAATGACTCATCATGACGCACTGCAAGGTCACTGCAAGGTCACTGCAACCTCGGAACAATATAGAGAGTGACACCAATTGCACCGCTTAGCACTGAAGCATTGGGCCAGTCCTGAAACTGCGCTTTCATTTTGGCTTGCAGTAACGTCCACCTCAGAGGGTGTCGAACAGGCTCTAAGACTCTAGACTTCTGCAACAGGAAAAGCGTCCACAGTCGCAGAATCTGGGACATGTTCATTTGATGCAGATCCTGGACAATGGTGGACTGGGGTTCCTTGGGCGGCTTGCCGAAACTTGATTCTGCATCTCTCGAGCGTGTCATGCCATGGGAATCAGCACAATAGCCAATGTCAGCTGTGGATCTGCATCAAGCAGCCGCATGGAGCCAGGCTGCTCATGCAACCTTCGTTTGATGATGTTTGATGCATCTGTAAAACCATGCTCCTGACTTGACGAAAGAAGTGGACCTGTGCGTCAAAATCCGCCACAAAGTTGCCCACCCCGATGAATTTTCTTTGTCTTCCACTTTCTTTTTTGTACTCTACATAGTCTAGATCTCTATGCGTAAATCATTGAGAGCATCTGTATGATCGTTCCCCAGGCTGCAGCAAAGCAGCTCCAAACTCAGCTCACGAGGAAGTCTTGCAAAGCGGCTGAAAACCGGAGTGAGTTCGAAGCAGTTCTCAAACAGCGAGAACCTGCCACGAAGACAAAGCACAGCGACGGCACACTCGCCACACTCGCCACACCTGCCTTCCGAACACGTAGAGTCCGAATCGAGCTCTGCTCATAGTGACAATAAGTCGTCGGACATCGCGAAGGTGACCAACATGCTGGGTTCGCACCAGCGAGACCTTAAGCGAAGCGCGCGGGGCAGCAAAATCTTGGTTTGATCCAACCGAGGTTGTAATCCCACATTCTGATGTAAGAGTCCGCTGGCGGGCGATGCCCAACGATCAAAACTCGATGTTGAAAGAGCTGGAATGTTCTTAATAGTGTTGTACCTCCTTTAGTGTGGGGGCCCCCCCCTCCCCAAACAGTCGAGGCTGGATTTGCTTCTCTTTACACGGTCCGCAGGGATTAAATGATTTTAGTACGGAGGAGGTTGTATAAATCTAAAAGGGATCCTTCTGAATATAAAAGGGATGAGCTCATATGAATTTTAAAGGGATCCATATGAATCCGCCGAGGCCTCGGGCCGAAGGTGTGTAGGTTGTGAGCCCCGAGCCCAAAGCCAATTGTCGGCCCACCTTTTTTGCTTGGAAAGGGTACTCCCTCTGCCCCCCCCCCCCTGCCCCGACCCCCTCCCCCCCTTTTGCTTGAGGGTTTGGCTTGAACCTTGAACCCAAAAATACGAAACCCCAACCGTGAACCTTGAGGCAACCCTTAACTAACCCTCAACCCTAAACCCCAAACCATAAACCATAAACCCGGAACCCTAAACCCTAAACCCAACCCTTATTGCTTGGGGTCCAGCGACTTGGGCGCAGCGGAATCACCATGATCACGCGGATGCGCTGGGCCGGGCCAGGGGGGGTCGCGCAGCGTTAAAATTAAAAGGGATGAGCTGGTATGACAAAGGGATCCATATGAATCAAAAGGGATGAGCTTGTATGAATTTGAAAAGGGATCCATATTTAAAAGGGATGAGCTTATATGAATTTAAACGGGGTCCGTGTGAATTTAAACGGGATGAGTTTATACGAATATAAACGGGATCCAATATAATTTTTCAAATTCGGAGCCTCCGGGCCGGGGCCTTGAAGTAAAACATGGTCCCAAATCAGTGCCATTTTTCGGGGCCGAGGGGGGGCTCCTGGACCACCCCTTTGCCGGATTGAACGAAACCAACTTTTCAAATGGTTTCCTCAAAGGGAATTCCTGGTTTCGGGCCGGTTGGAATGGATGAGGTCGGCCTTTAAACTCACAAGGTCCGGCTTTCTAAAATCATAAGGCCCGGCAATAAGCCAAGGCATCCAAATTCGAAGCCTCCGGGCCGAAACAAGACCCAAATCCTTGCAAAACAATGCCGGGTTTCGGGAGTGGTTTGACTTTAAAGGGGGACACCTGGGGGCCCCCACTAAAGCAGGTGCAACATTATTTCGCGAATCGAAACACATATTGCACTTTGAAGATAAATAAAAATGGTCTGGAAACGCTAGGAGACCAAAATGAAAATGAGAACTCCAACGCTCAAACTTGAAATGCAACCCGACTCTTCTGAGCATTGTCTAAGGTTCAATCTTCAGCTTGAGCATTGACTTCGAATACTCCTCGTTAGATTCAGTCTGAAACCGAAGATTCTGCAGGCCAGGCCTTCAACACCCTACCATCACCTTACTGTAGTTTGTAACTGTTAACAGCACAGGCTTCCACAGAGCAGCTTGACAAGAGAAAACTTGCTATACCAGTCGAAAATGGGTGACCGTGCACGACAGACAAACACCAACCGCTACTTGTGAGGGCGGCGTAATACCCCATCTAGAGGTAGTAGCACTCCCACCATACGTCTGAGGGCGGCGCGAGGACAAAACAGCACAAAACTGTTAACTGACAAAAGCAACAAGTACTACTAACAACAGTGGCAACGTAATTTCAAGCTTATCCAAAAAGGCTAGATTATCGGAAATGGCGCGTACAGAGGTGAAGGTTGACAAACAAACCCTGGTTCTTTCAGAGCTGCGATGCTCCAACCGAAAGGTGGTCCGTTTCATTGCGCAGCCTCTCTTCCGAAGAATGTGAGCGGGGATCACTTGGTTTTCATTGTTCTGCCTGGCCTAGCTTCGAAAAAGGCTGTCAAGTTCTTCCAGAGATGCAAGGCGTGCAGCAGATTCCTGTACTCAAGATCTTCAATGTTGTGTTACAAGGACACGGGTGCTTTGATTCTTCATCTACGTTTGGCAAGTAGATGCAAGTCGGAACTCTAGTGCTATACTTCTTCTTCGCTTCTCGTACTTGTATCTGCGTCGGCTACGGAAAATGTAAGGCTTCGTTTTAAACGTTTATGGGAGTGTTGCACTTCGAGCTGTTGAGGAAAGGTGTCTTGGCGTTCGTCGAGTTGTCCTTTTTGCGCTGTTTGATTGTCGTTTGTTGCCGAGTCCTGTTTTGTGAGGTTATCTGCCCTGTCCTTTGCGTTTGCGAGTCATCGCTTTTGCCGAGAGAAAAATGCCCACGTGCGCAGGTCTACGGGTCAATGGAGGTCTGCCAGAACATGCCATCATACTGCAAAACTAGCCCACACAATATTTCCAGCTTCGGATGTAGGTCTTTGTGCGGACAAGTTGCAATGATAAAATCATTCTGCTGCCCCTGAAACTTATCCACGGTCGTGATTTTGGCCTTGCTCAACACAAGTCTGCACGTTTCTGATGCAAGCACATGCTCCCTTGCGCCAAACGGCAGGCTCGCCAAACAGCGGGTTCCACGTGCACCGTGTTCTGACCACGTCTCTCAGCAAGGCCTGGGCACTGTTGGTAGCATAGTTCTGCAGAAAGCGAAACTACACATCTTCTACTTTGCCACTGCTCAATTCTCCGGCATCTTTCGTGTGCACGCGACATCGTTGTTTGTGCCTGCGGCCTTGCTCTACTGATGACAGCGTTTACCAAGGTTGTGTGTACGACGACATCTAGGACTTGCTGGCATTACCGATTCGAATCTGCTTCGAGTGCACCTTCTGGCCATTGTATGTCGACAGGATGGAGATCTTCTGCGCTGGTATTCCACAGAGCCGCCTTGGGGCACTGGAGCTTCATGAGCTTCACATTTGTCTTGATGCACTCAAAACTGAGGCACCAGCATGTACATGAATAGTGCAACGCAGTACTCGGCTTCGCCCAGATTTTGGTAGAAGTAAGGCGTTGGTTGCGATTCTCCTCGGCCTTCGAAGTCTTCAACATTGACAAACTGATACCTTGGCACAGGATCTGCTCTGTTTGGTGCGGATCTCACAGAAAGCGGGAAGGCTTCGGGCAATGTCTTCGGGCTTGGCGAACCACCCGCACTGGCTTGGTGAACCACCCGCACTGAGCGACTAAATAACCACATGTTCATGTTGCCTGTTGCACCCTGTGAGTTCAAAAGTGGAGCGTGCCCAAGAAAGGAATCTGAAATACTGCCTGAACTGAAACACGCTGAAGTTTAGCTTCCATGATCGCTTCGGGTTATCCAGCCGAGAAGCGTTTAGAACAACAAGCAGACCAGGATCCGGTCTCCTTCCCCCCTTCAACAAGAAACTTTGTAGGCCCCGGCCCACTGGGACTTGCCAAAACCTCCTGGAGGCCTGGAGGAGCCAAAATCCGATGCCACGGAGGTTCTAGTAGGCTTCTCCCACAGGCCCATCTAGGACCTTCTCTGTAACCTCCCCCTAGGACCCACCGCTCCTTGCAATCTGGTCCTCGGCCTCCTCTGCTTGAAGCCCATTGAAACCCTCGAAGCCCCCTCTTGTGACCCCTTCCGTTGCACATGCTACACCCCGCCTCAGGGCCTGGTCGCTTGCCGGGGCGGCACACGAAAGCGTTTTTACAATTCATCATACTGTTGGCCACTCAAGCGCAACATCTGTTGTTCTTTGCATATCGGGGAAGTCGGACTCTGCGCCGCTGCATGCCGCCCATGCCGCTGCGATCGAAGGTTTATGAACTCTTACTTTTTCGTGCAACTTTCCAAAGCGTGCTGTGTGAACAAAGACACTTTCAACAGGCCCACGCTTGTAGTCCACCCCGGAATCAACCTTCATGCTTCGGGCTCCGAAGTTGGTGCCACTCTTGATGGGACATCGAGTGGCCCCTGTTTAGCGCAGGAATTGTTTGAGATTTTTGTAGCCTTGAAAAGTTTAGGGCCGGAATGTGGCCGACAAGTCGCTCGTTGGACTGTGTTCTTCTGGTATGCGCAAGCCCAGTTTCGACATGGGAAGACGGGCAAGTGAAGGCTGCACAGGGTTCCGCTCACCCGAAACCCCCCCCAGACGGAATTCTCACTGGCCGAAATATACCGAAGAAGAACTCGGATCAATGATGCAAACTACACACGTGCGAACTCAGTCGACCTAACTGACCTAACTTTAAACTTTATACTCTCGCGAAGAAAAGGCGACTCGGCGACACGGCGACACATCCCACTTACACGCATCCAACAATTGCCACGTCGCTCGTACGTCAATCCAGGATTGGCGTACCTGTACCTAGCGTTGAGCCGCTCAGCCGTACAGTATAATTCCCATGGCACCCCCAGAATCTTCGCGCCTGTCGTCTGTAAGGACATTGGGCAGATTGCCGAGATCCCGGTATCGCCAACTGTAGAGTTCAGCAATGTTGGGCCTTCCAACTTCCGAAGAAGATCAGAACACCAAAAGCTGCAAGGTCAGGTCAGGTCATTTAGTTGTGAAATGGTTAAGTCGTTAAGTGACAGCTTGCTTTCGAACTGTTATTGTTTTGCTCCTTGCTTTGTCTTCCTTCTTTGAGACCTTGCCTTGCTCGTCCCTGCAGATTGAGGTCCACGGTCGGAGTCTTCAGGCGCACGAATCGCGCATACAACGACTGATCCAGATGCCCATACTTCCTGAGCATCACGTGCGCACAAGTCCATTCTTCTCCGTGCATGTCCCGAAGGGTACTAGAGAAGCTCATGCGGACCGGGCCCATCCAAAGTTACGCCCATTCCACCCCTGGTATCCGTTCGTGTAGCAATGGCTTGGAAGGCTCCGCCTGTGCCCCTCTGTCCCGGGGTTTCACTCCAAGACTACTGCAAGAATCACGGAGCTGTCGGTGCTGGCAAGAGGCAGATCTAACTTAGACAGATCCAAACCCTTCAAAATCTGCGCAAACCTGCTCGCTTATTCCTAGGAGAAGTGGAACCACAACAACATACCATGCCCTCAGAGCCAAGGGGCTGGAAAGCGCGATTCTTGACAACAGGAGGTAGCTGATGATGGTCACCGATGAGCATCACGCGCTTCAACCTCTCTCAACTTTCCGCTGCAGTCGTGGTCAAAGCAAACTGAACAAGTTGGACAACTCAAGGCACACTCTGGTCAGCGCACGGGCAACGGTGTAATGACTAATTTGTGTGTCTGTGTGTGTGTGTGTGTGTGGCAGTTTTGTGTGCGTGCGCGAACCCTGTTTTTACTCCAAATGCTTCGGTACAAATCGTTGGTCGACTTTTTTGACCAGCACTTCGCGTTTCCGTCATTTTGGGAGGGCAGCAGGGATTGGCCAGCAGGAGCTCCAGTCATCATGCGGATATGCTCGAAAGATGCTTTGACGACGTACCGCGAGAAGCGTGCTCGCGGCATATACGGTGCTA